TTTGGTACCCTGGTTTTGATGCCAGATTTCCAAACCAAAATCAGACTAGGTATGTACATACCAAAAAAATATTATTACTGCTTGCACCTTTATATTTTGAATTAAATTTTAAGAGGCCAAGTTAATTTGAATAATTTAATTTACTGAGTCAAAAAAGTATTCTCTCATTTTTTAAGTTTACCTAAATCAATGAAGCTTAATTTTACCTATCAATTAAAGTTCCTAAAATTAAGTTTTAATTAAAGAATTAAAATTAATTTGGTATATTTAATGTTTAGTTTATATTGATATTTCTAGGGGATTTAGATTAAATGCAAGTTGAAAATTCTCATACAATTTTATAATTAATAAATCAGGCGGTGCTGGCAAAACTACGTTGATTATTTTAGATGTCAAGAAAAATTTGGAGAGGACTATGAGGGCTGTGAATATTTCAAGAAGACTTATGAATTGTTGTGTCCTGGCTTTTGGGTAAGTTCCATCATTTCAGTGATATGATACACTTTATGGACTATAATATTTTTAATATTTGAAAGAGGTACTCAGCATACCTTTTTCTGATGACTTGATAGTGTGTTGATGCACTGGCATTTAGTCTGGGTGCTGACATATCAACTTTGCAAAATAAAATCACTGCTTTGTTCAGTTTGCAGTTAATGTTTACATTTTTTATTTTCTTAATTAAACACAAATGCTACTTCCCATTTCACAGGAACCAAACTGGGATTCAAATTCATGGAAGTGTGTTTTAATATATGTAAAAATTTTACAATTTATAGGAAATATAGAAATTTGTGAAACTGCTGTTGTTCCTCGACTGTGAACAAAACAATAGTTTATATTAAGTGCCATAAGTTGACCATACTGATTCAGCTTTCATTTCTTCTTACATCTATATCGAAGCTATCAGTATTTTTATTTTTTAAACTTTTCTGTCAAAGTTGTTTAACATTTTATAAAATTCATGCACCATAATTTTAGTAAGTAGGAAATTCTAGAAATATGAAACAAATACAGGCTATTCATTTAGGTGTTACATTTTTTAACAAATATGTCACTTTTGCTAATTTCAAACAAAAAATCCTGAAAGTTGCCCTTTATACTATTAGTATTTGATGTTTTTCATGCAATTTTTTCACTGGACACTATGTAATGAAATAGAAAGAATAAAGAAAAAAAAAACACACTTTTTTAAGTTTAAGAACTCTACAATTTTAGCATGCATTCTGTTTTTTCATTAATATTATGTCATTTATTAATGAAAATTGATAAAATATTAGCTACCAAAAAATACTTCATATTCTCGTCAATTGTTTCTTTTCTACTACTAGATTGAACGCTGGAATGAGCAAAGAGAAAATGGTACTTTTCCTTATCCAAGGAGGTAAAGCAGTATCAAGGATATGTCACTGAATCAAGGATATGTCATGTGAATAGACATTTTCACACTTGTTTTTTTTCAACAATAATTATGCATTTTTGTCTTAATTGACATGTTTGAAAATGAATATGATTTTAAGGAATTCTGTTGTAGTTCATTATGTTATGAGAAACAATACAAAACATTATGAAAGGCTCTTAAATTAATTTAAACAAATCTGTCCAACTGAAAGTTTGAATTCTTTATTTAACAATATTTACATCAACATATAAAATACAGATGTATCACACTGAGTCTCAAAAAGTGATTATATCAATTGCACATCTCCTCAAAGAGAATTTATGACAGGTTATATTTTTAATTGACACACTGTCAACCATAAGTTTTTAGATGCCTAAGATAATGCAGCTCAAATTGATGCTACTGGTTTATGGTTTAATTAATCAGTTGTCAGTCTTAACAGTTGGGTTTGATTTTTCAAATAATAAATAGCTTTAATATAGACAGTAATATCAATCCAAATTCCCATCTTCTCTTCCCCCTTTAAAGAATTTTTTTGTAAATTAGCTTGGCAATGCTCAAGTAGAGCTATATTTTTATACTTGTATTAACTTGTATCTTTTAATAAAAAGCTTGTAGGAGTCATATATGATACTGTATTAACAATTAACTTAAGCCTAAGCATATTAAATTTTTATTTTAGAATTTACGTTGTAATGAACCAATACCTGAACACATTACAAATCATCTATATTGCTATTTCACTATATCGATAGTTGCAGTTTATTTGTGGATAATGTTTAGCTTCAATTTGCAGATTAAATTGCCAGTCTTCTAAGGCTTATCATTTGCTAGAACAATTATTATAAATAAAGTGAATAAGTTTGTCATCACTAATTTTTAGCATATTTAAATGTTGACATAGTTGTTACCATACAGAAAATTAGTGACTAGAATTTGTTTTATAAAAAGTTGTTGTTTTTTATCAATGACAAATGGAAGCATACTATTTCATGTTGACAGAGGTGTTAGTTTAAATTTAAGCATGCTATTTCAATTTCACACTTTTTTTTTTACAACTTCAAATAAGTAAATACACCCCTAAGTTCAGGGTTAATTTTTTCAACTCTTAAAAAAAAGTTAAATTAAAATATACTACAGGGCTTATAATTTAGAAAGGAAATGTGATCTACAATTTTTTTAATAATTTGATGTACATTGTATCATTGAATCTCATTATTTGAATTCCGAACATATTTTTTTTTTACTTAAGATAAATTAAACTTTAAATGTAACTAATTTAGAGAAAATGTAGGCTTTTTTTTGCTTGCGATAAAAGAAACAGTAATTGGAACAAATTTAGTGAAAATTTAGGCTATTTGGTATAACTAAAAGTTAAATCTTTGGATGATCCAAAATAGACAACAGATTTCAAATATGAATTTTTTCCTCACAATTTGCTGTCACAGTGATAGCTTTATAAAATTTTATTTATAGACAATATTTAAGCACATCAGATAAAATTTCTTTTAGTGTGGCATATATTACATATGCAATATAGTTTATCAATTGGTTACGCATTTTCAGACAGCCACCTTACGTAAATGTACAAATAAGCAACTGAAAAATGTAACTTAGGTTGAGGTTTTTTACCTTCAACGTAACTATTCTGAGTTAACCAAAAAAAACAAACAAATTTGACATTGGGTCACTTAAAGTATTATAAAATAATAATTAATAAAGCCATTCATTACAGTTACAGTGCTGGAAAGAGCATTATTTCAATCATATAACATTTTTGTTAATAAATGTTTCATCCAATCTATACATTCTGCCATCTGCAAACAAATCCTTAATATGGTGCAACATAAAGCACTCCATTATTTAGAACAGCACTTTGAACTATATACACTATATCCTCATATTCGGAGTGTGCTTAATTGATGATAGAGCATATTGAATAATTTGAAACTATTAATGTAATCATATTTATAATTGTAGGATTACATGAATTTTAAATTGGTTGACAATGTTGCTTTGGGTCATTTAATAAATACAAATTATTAATCACACTTTGAATTTATTTCGGAATATCTATTTCGAATAATGGTCCCCTTAGTTGAGCAATTGTATTTCAATGAACATTTCTGTTTTAATCCTGACTATACATTTCCAAGCAGAAAGTTACTAGAAAAGAGTAAAAGTGCTTAGCACTGAAAGATAGGTAATTGTTTCCTTTAAAAAAATTATTGTGTACAAAAGGAGGGAGGTAGAAATAAAACAGACCATACTTAGCTTATAAATAGCAGAAAAACTACAGTACTTAAGAATTTATGATGAAGCTATGATTGACTAGAATATCAGTGCAAAAACCAGGAAAAAAATTAGCTACATCTTATACTTATATATATTTTTTAAAGTAAAAATTTAGTTTATAAAAATTGACTTCTTAGAGTCAATATTTTTTTTAAAATATGTAATTTAATCATCTACAGTGGATGATCCCAATTTAATTAAAAATTTAAAAGTGAATGTTTGAGCTGCAAAGCCTTGCTATGATGAACTCTGGCATCTTGAAATCGGCACAGAATATTCAGTCAGTAATTTCTAGGTCAATACAGCTTTTCCTTACAACACTAATAACTCATCCTAAGTTAAAAGTTTAAGATGTCTTATCAATGACTGCTTACAATAGATTAATTTTTATTTATTGCATTGGAAAGTATTGCTGCCAGCTAGGCCCATATTAAAATCACTCTGCTAAATTTTTTTTAAAGACTTCTGCTCAAATTCTTTTGTTTACAATATTTATATTGATTTGACAGTTTCATAGAATAAGAGCATTATGGTCAATTGGTTGAACCTAATTGATGTATAACATGAGGCGAGGGAATGATAGAGAAGATTAGAAATAAACGCCTTGGAACAAAACCAAGGCTGAAATGGAATTCTTTTCCTCTACACATTCGCAATATACCGACCATCACAGCCTTCAAAACTGCACTCAAAACACATCTCTTTAAACTCTATCCTGACCGATTCCCCCCTCTGACCGATAAACGATGCTGCTGGGTAGCCGTCCATGGCTTGACATGTAAATAGTTCTTGAATGTGTGGAGTAAATATATATTTGCTTTGTTTTATTTAATTAATGTATGTTAATTTTTCAGTTCATGATGTTTGTTAAATTGCATGTACAGAGTGGTGAGCCCAGCCCTAGGCTGGGGTACCGCACTATATAAAAACACCAGTAATAATAAATAAAGTAATAATATACACATAAAATGCAAGTTTCAACGATAACTCCTTGGCCAGTGGAAGATTTTAGTTGTCATATAACAAAAACTTGTAATGATATATTAGATACTAAATGTGGTACCTACTTAGAGATGCAGAGCTTGACTTTTCTTTTTCAAGTGGATGATAAAGAGTGGAAAATTATACAAGTATGCACATTAGCACCCTGCTGTTTGAAAAGGATTATTTTAAAATGCTATAACAAGAAATATGTGTGATCTTAACAATAATACTAACAAATTATGCCCAGCATGTTAGAGCTTCTCCAATGACTTTCATTATATTGGCTCACGGTCAATATCTGAAACAACTGTTTATTTCTAGAATCATGTTCGAATTATTAAATGAATTCTGTACCTAAATACTTTAAATTTAAAGCAATAATTGATCAATCACGGATGAAAGAAAATATTAGTCATTAAAGCAGCAGCAGGTTAATAGTTTATAATAAATAAATATGATAACACTTGTAACAAATAATGTATTATACAAACAGGGATGCCTATCCACACACAACTTTTTACAATACACAACTTTTTACAATATTTATTCTTGAAAATTTTGCTACTGTAAAGAACAAACTAAAATAAGCCAGCTCCGGTTGAGAACAAACACTACATGCCAGCCAATTTGATATTAATTAAAATGTTTATTAATGGTTCTTATCTTACTTGTACTAGTGATTGGTACAAATCCCCCCCCCCCCTGAGAACTATTTAATAAACTATACAAATGAAGATCACAGCCATAAGCTTAGTTATAAATGTTGCACTTGATTTAAGAGGAGTGTATGCAAAATATGCATATTACTGGCCAATTAAATTCACAACAGCATGATTCACTCTTTACATAAAAAATGCAGTATCAACTCTTCAGTTGTGAAGATCCAAGGAATAACTATTGAACTCCAAGTAGCAAACCAGGTGAATGTGTTCCTGCAATGGCTTGCAGTAAAGGCATGTCACTTGTTTCAAATCTGAATTAAAAAAATTATAAAATGACTTACAATGTGAATATCAGTACTGCTATTCTATATTATTTTCTCAAAAAAATTATATTTTTCCCCTCCCTTTATACACCATTAAACATAATATCAAAATACAACACCATTGATTGCAATTGGGTGACACCTCCCATGGGCGCCCGCACGTAGTGGCAAGGTGGGGCACTTGCCCCCCCCTGGATTGATTGGAAAAAATTTTTATAGACAAAAAATTTATTAAAATAAAGAGAAAGTAACTAAGCTGATGTCCTGTCCGTTCGTTCACCATACAAATACGCTACAGTAAATTAAAACTATATTAAAACATTACTAAAAATTGTTTGCCCCCCCCCCCTGGAAAGTTAA